GGGTTGCCATGTGCTGTTTGGTCCCTATACAAGCGGTGCCTGTTTGGTTTACATTGCTGGCAGTAAGTTGGACCCCTTCATGGTAGGAGATGGCCTCCGCCAGGGCTGCCTGTTGTGATCAATTCTGATCATAAACTTTCATGGACAGAATTTCTCGGTGCAGCCAGGGGTTGGAAGGAGTCCGGTTCTGTGGCCTCAGGATTTTATTTCTGCTGTTTGAAGATAATGGGGTCCCGTTTGCTTCATCGTGCCGTGATCTCCAGCTACCCCCGGAAAGGTTTGCAGCTGTGTGAGAAATGGCTGGGATGAGAAATGAGAATCAGCACCTCCAAATCTGAGGCCATGGTCCTCAACCGGAAAAGGGTGGGTTGCTCTCTTCGGGTCGAGGTTCTGCCTCAAGGGGAGGAGATCAAATATCCCTGGGTTTTGTTCACAAAGGAGGGAAGAATGGATTGTGAGATTGATAATGGATTGGTGCAGTTTCTGCAGTATTGCGGACTCTGTGCCAGGCTGTTATGGTGAAGAGAGAGCCGAGCTGCAAGGGAAGCTCTCTGCTTTACCGGTCAGTCAACATTCCTACCCTCATCTATGGTCATGAACTCTGGGTAATTAACAAAAGAATGAGCTTGCGGATACAGGCGGTTGAAATGAGTTTCCTTTGCAAGGTACCTAGACTCTCAGAAGTTCAGTCATCCAGGAGAAACTCGGAATAGAACAGAGAATGGAACTGTGGAAAGATGTCTGGGCCTCCCTGCTCAAGCTGCTGCCCCCGCGACTCAACTTCAGAACAAGCAGAAGATAATGGATGGAGAATAGAAAAGACTCACCTTTGAAGTTGAGGCTGAGCTCATCTGTGCTACTTCTTCAGCGGTCTTTGACACCTCAAGCATAAGTCGTTCTAGGCCTGTCTGCTGAAAACAAAGACAAATGGGTTAAAAACAACAACAACAACCCATTAATGGTATAAAATGTGTCACATTCAGTGCCTGCACATTTAGATCAACTGAATCCTTATCAGATACCTTCTTTTCAAACAATGTGTATCCAGCATCAGCAGCTGCCGCCTCCTTTTTCTCTTCTTGACTAAGAGGTTGAAAGCTACTCTTGAAGTTCTCTTTCTGCTTGTTGAGACTTTTGGCCCACCGTTCCATGTCTTTAGCAATCTGAAAGATTGATTTGAACATTAAATTATAAACATACAAACAGTTAAAGAAGTTGTTACTGGAAAAGTACACAATGAGTGATTTAATGCAGCACCTGTTGTGCAGTCTTGCTTTTGGGCTTCTCTTTTTTCTCTTTGCCTTCTTTAGGCTCTTTGTTGCTAGCTGCTGAGCCATTTATTGATTTATCATTTAGTCCAACATCTGCATTAGGGGCCGGCAAGTATGTCTGCTTCTCATCGTCCCAGTACAAATACTGCTGGGTCTGAGAATTGAAATAATACTAGAAAGAAAAACAGCAATGCAAATAAGTGAACATGTTGAAGTCTCACCAACATGGCAGAAAACAATAGTGACTCATACATTCTGTAAACGAGTTACCCACATGTGAAGTTGGGTCATAGTAGAGGCCAGATTGAGGGTCGTAGTAATAGCCAGAAGACTCATCGTATTGGTAGGAGGAGATATCAGGAACTGTGGATTAAAAAGATACGTTCAACATTAACTGCATTCACATCTCTCTTGGTTAAAAGCTTTATCCATGAAATCATAAAATATGGTTTCAGACACGTCACACTCAGCAACACAGGTTTTAACGAGTCTTGTTTGAATGTACCCATGTTGGTGTTCCCCGTCTGTCCAGAGGATGGTAATGTACTGGCAGCGCCAACAGCAGCAGCAGCAGTGACAGCAAGAGCAGACACAGCTTCAGCAGCTGAAAGGTGTCCCGTTTGGGGCTTTGCCTCCAGCTGTTGGGCAAGTAGCAATGCCTAAAATTAGTGTTTTAGTTAATTAAGAGATTGTTTCTGTCCAATATCTGCATTACAGTTTAGTACAGAAATGCAAGCCCACATTACCTGTATAGCAGGCTGAGCAATTATATGGGGTTGGTAGACCTGTGCATTCTGGGAGATTACAACTCCAACTGCAGATGGGACAATCTTTAACCCTGGGGCAGCTGAAATAGTGGGGGAAAAAAAAAAAAAAAAAAAAAAAAAAAAAAAAAAAAAAAGTTTTTTGAAAACTCATTGGCATGCCAACAAATCACTGTGAGAGCAAGGCAGCAATTATTTCCTATGCATGTTGCTTCTAACAGCAGGGTCTTTTTACTTTGTCGTTACTGAATTTAAAGTCCCTATAACCTTAATATACATCATGCTTTAATTGAGGAAAGGGTCACACGGACTGGCAAAGGCTTGTGCAAAAAGAGATTACCTCGCTTTTTGTCAGGATGTACAATTGAATGAAAGGTTAAAATGTAAAATGCACAAGTTAACATGGTAAAATTCACATATTTGCCCAAATGGTTGCCTAATATTTGTAAATGTACCCTTAGTGGTTATATCCATTGCTTGAAATAAAATTAACTGTACTCAAAGTGTTTTCATGTTTCCATTGTATGATGACTGATCAGTCCTCTGCCAACCCCCCCCCCCCCCTCCCATTCATTCAACCTTTATTTAGACAGGTAAATCCCATTGAGCCTTGAGGACTCATTTACAAGAGAGACCTGATTTCAACAAAGAAAGATGACAACAATGGACAACAGCGACAACAATAAACAGTTTAAAAAGTCTTACAATTTTTTTTAACAAATAGAATGGCTAAAAAACTAAAAAACCACTTCAGAAAGAGATAAGTATCACTTGCCTCCAAGGAGTCCATTTCCCTGGGAGGTGTTAGCTGTAGCCCCTTGATAGTATGTCTGATAATCCTGTAAAGCATTCATTGCAATGGTTTGTATAATTTTATATTGATATACAAAAAAAAAAAACTGTATATAAATGGTAATTTGTCTTTAGTAAAACATGATTCATTTGTTAATATTTTTCCTTCAGCTACCACTACAGTTTATTGTCGGTTTGATTTTGTACGTATTTTTAGGCAAACAAACTGGAGGATATTAATTGAACTGCAAGTAAACAGTGAAATATTTGTATTGTTTGTCTAACCTGTGACAGTGGAGTGTAGCCTTCTTGCAGGTAGGCATACTCCGACATTCCATCTGACCTCTGCTGGGTCTGTTGAGTGTAAAGTGGACTTAAGATGCAACAATGGCTCTTGTACACTAAACGTTTCAAGAAAATAGGCTTACCTGAGCTGATGACCACTGGGCTGCTGCTATAGCTGTGCTGGCGACAGAAAAGGCACTGATACGATTCCCATCAGGTAGCAAAAGGTCCCTAATGCAAGAAAAAGAAAACGTTCATCTAAACGACAAATTTAAAAAGACACACTGATGAAATTAAGACATACAAATTATTGTTATTTCACCACTACATCACTCACTTTCTAACACTCTTGGCATAATCGACACCAATGGTTTTCCCATCTAGTTTCAAGGGAGGCTGCAATCCTTGTAAGATGGTTAGCAGCTGAGAGGCCTCCTGCAACAAGCAGTAAATTAGATAAATAAAATTAATTAAAATGTGTATACAAAAATGAGTTGTGGCGTTTAAAGAAAAAACAAACAAACAAAAAACATCTGCATGATTGATAATGCTTTACCAGAGGAGAAGAGAGCTGCACAAAGGCAAAACCTCTGTTCTGGCCCGTTTGCTTGTCCTTAATGAGTCGAATGTTGTTTGATGACAGATTAGCATACGGTGCCAGTACTGACAATATGGCATCCACCGTAGTCTGAGTAGCAATATTTCTCAGGATGATTGCTAAACGAGAGAAAAATAAAAATGAAAAATCAAGCTTTGATTATTCAAACAACTTGGGATAGATGTTTTTGTACCACAGTAAAACATAAATAAAAATCATTCTTACTGTCGCCATAAAAATCGCCACTGGGCTGAACTTCAGAGGCCACAGCATTATTGCTTCCTTCACCATCTATGAGACAATCACAGAGGAAATGTATCAACAAAACCTTTAGAAGAGAAATGGAAATTAGGTACAGAATCAAGTAAAGATGAGCCCAAAATATGACAGCCTACATCATAAACTATAATTATTAGATTTCCCAATATTCCAAGGTTTGCAGAAATTGTGAGAAAATGAACAATCTAACTTCTCATCTAAAAACAATTTCTATCAGTGTCATTGAGTAAGAACACAAGAAATGTCCAAATCATTCTCGGCCTCTACAGTTACATTGATACAAAGTTTGTGTTGCGTCCCAGCACTTTTGGTCCAGGCTGTCCTGATTGTCTGCAGTGGGTGGCCTCTTTTAGTTCAACTACTTACCAGTTTTGGCTGCTCCACACCTGAAGCACTTCAGCCGCCTCCGGAAATTGTACAGGCCACACTGTAAGTAACCGTTCACATCATTTTTATTACACATCTAATAAAGCCCCCAAGCAGTGATCCGAAGACTAAAAGGCAATCTAATTTGATACAGCAAACCATACCAACCGAGAACCAAAAACTTTACCACTGACAAAACTGTGTGAAAAAAATAAAAATAAAAAGTACCTGACTTGTGCACATATATATATAAAAAAAGTGTGTTCTGCAGAATTGCTCAAACAATACAATTACAAAAACACAACATATTCACTTACAGTGGTGCAGAGCCAGTCTTCATACTTGTTCCTAGGGTGACTGTAGTGCATGTCCAAAACTTTGCCTTGGATGATCAGACATTTCTGAAAGAGGAAAACAAAAATCACTCAGAGTTCTTGTGGTGAAACGATCTAATTAATTGGAACAAGCAGTGTTGGAAGGGAGAGCATGGGGAGAGGGACCCCCAGCAGACAGGCTCTGAGTTAAAGACAGGCACAGGATGTTTAAATGAGCTGGATGTAAAGAGAATTGTTTGTGTTTGGGACCCGAATGCTCAGACTAGGCTGGAGCAGAGTGTACAGTATATTGTGATATTAACGGACATCTTTTAAAGCTTAAAAAAAATGGGGGGAAACAAACTTGTATGGGCTTTCCACAACAACAAGGAAAAAAAGATAAATATCCAAATCTACAGATGAGCTAGAGAACTCTTTATTTCTTTAGGCTAAGAAATTATTCTGGACATTGAAAGTGTGCTATTACTTTCATTGTAAAGATTAAAAAAAAAAAAAAAAAAAAATTAAATATCCTAAAATAACTTAAAACAAATGAAATTACTGGTAGCTATTTTATTATTATAACATATTAAATATACCTAATTTGTTTATACAAAAAAGTTTAATAGATTTCTCTAATTATATACAAAACAAGCATTTGCTTTCTGTGTGGTATTCATTGTAATTTTTTTTAAATAAATAGTTTCCACACTACATATTGAATACATTCTGGTTGCCTTTAGGGTCATTTCTCCAGATCCCCAAGATTAAAACTAGACTTGGCGATTGTGAAGCAACCTGATTGGTCTCCATCCATCTGGAAGCATCTTGCAAGTGATAAAAGTCCACGAAGGCGAAACCACGGCTTATACCTAGAGACAGCATTCAAATATAGACGGGAGGTGTGTTAGTTTAGAGTCCATGGGCATATTATTCAAACTCTTCCACAAACTGCTTCATGACCCAGGCCCAGTTTGGTACACAATAGGCCACTCCTTAAGATTTACCATAGCAAGAAATCCTGATGAATACCACACTCATAAACAAAGTGTTTCAGTCTAGAGATTTTCCAAAAACTTTTACTGCAGTTCTTACTTACCTTGGAGAGAGCCACAATGTACTGAAAACACAGGTCTTGCATAAAAGTGTTTACAAATGTTTTCAACTGATTTAATTTAATTCTCTCCTAACTGCTATGGGAAAATGGGTCTCAATGGAAGCAGATTTGCCCTATGGTCAAAGACTGGGAGGGGGTGGTGGTGTTCATGGTCCGGCTTACACTTGTTCCTCACCTGTTCTCTTTTTCATCAGTCTCACATCCACTGGCTGGGGTCCCTCTAGTTGGTCTATGGCAAAACGAATCTGAACACAAAAGAAATTATTTACATTAGGTTTGAAAATTGTAACAATTTTATAGGTCAAATAATATAAACACATTTTTACTGTTATCTTATTACAGTTTTTGACATTTTATTGTTGGATGTAACTGGAACCCTGTGCACATAATTTCTTTCCACCACATGTACCACATGTGGTGCAAACAACAATAGAGAAACTGACTCTTAAACCCTTCCCACATTCTTGCAATATTCTAAACAACGTTTCTAAACTCTAAACATACTAAAAGAGCTCTCTGCCTCGGCTGCACTTTCCGCCACCTGCAAGCGATCTTGGCCATGCCCACTTCTCCCCTCTGCATGGAAATCAGCTGATCAGCTGCAGGAGGAAGCTTATCCCAGTGTGAGCTGCATCTCTGTGCAGCAGGCTATAAATAACTTTAAATAATTTATTTTAAATAAAAAATTCCATGCCGATCATGCGGTTCATCCATCAATCAGCCAATTGTTTGTCATGTCCAATCTTACTTTGAAAAACTGCGATACAGCAAGTCCGCGAAAAACGAACCATGAAGTAGCGAGACTGCTGTCTATGAATGCACAATATATATGGTACACAGTAGAAATGATAGAAATTTAGCCTACGATAGAGATCTGTCTTCTACCGGCTAACCGCAGTAACACAGTAGCTATGTTTACATGCGCAGAATTCTCTGACCGGATTGAAATGTGTTCTGTTTGAATAATTCAAATGTATTGTTTACATGGGCACAATCTGTTCATGATGAGCGTTTACATGCAGCGGGCTTTGTTCTGAACAGCAGTACTGACATGCGCAGAGTGGTAAACTCTCCTTAAAAAAAACACCGAAGAAGAAGTTCTACTTCCGGGTGAACGTAAACAAACCTGAGCACCCAAAATGGACCCGCGACAGGTTTTAATGATGTTGGAGACGTTATTGCACTCCCTGACTGAGCTACAGGTAATAGAAATCATTTTGAGCTCTTGAAAAATTTCTAGTAGAAATGTTGTGTCGCTCACCGACCAGTTTTACTTCCCTGACATGCTAATATTATTAGCGTTAGCCAGGCGGAAATGGCAAAGTCGCACATGCGCAGTCAGGTCAGTTTTTCACCATCAGATAAAAATGAACAGATCAAGCGTTTACATGCGCACCGATCGGGTTTCGGATCGGCGTAAACCACCCGTTTCGTTCTGATCAGAAATTATAACGGATCGCGCCGAATACACAAAAAATAACCCGAACGGAGTGTTTACATGACACACTTTTATTCCGACCGGCCATTTGATCCGGTTACTTATGTCCATGTAAACATACCCAGTGTCTGATGTAAAATCAGAGTTGTCAGTTTAATAGTTACTTTTTTTTGAGTGGAGAACTGTGCGTAAGTGGTGTTAAAAAGTCTTTTCTGCAAGAGCCAAGTAGTGAAGCTACAAGCTAACTACGGCCGGCTTGCCGTATTCGGACGCATTCGCAAAACACTGTGTTCTATCAAAAGTTGTCGTTTTTTTCCTGTCGAAAGTTAAAGTAAGCGTTGGCCAGCTTTAGAGAAACCTGCTCTCTGATCTGTGAAAAGAATGCCGTGTTGTGCGATTTTACTGTGAGACCCTCTGGTCAAAGCCAGACTCATTTTTTGTCAGCTCTCCATTAAAGCGGAAGGAGACGCACACTGGAGGGTTAAGTGTTTTCAGTGTGCACTTGCTGCTCTGTTGCTGTTCATTTCTTAAGTGAGAATACTGGAACTGTTAAGAGATAACAACATATTATTGTTTTAAACGTATGGCTAAAACTACATTTGATATATTTTGCACTGTTTTGTATTACACGAAAGAAGCCCAATACTTGTTTTTTTTATTTTTTATTTTAAAAACTCTCTGGAGCTAGTAATGGAATTTTCTTAATTCAAAATAAATGATGGCAAAAGGACACCCTATGATTTTTTTCCCCCCAATTCCTATTGCATGTTTTATACCAAAAACAGTGATATATATCGTTATCGCCACCCTTCACATTACATATCTTGATATGAATTTTATGCCATATCACACATTCCTACTACTGTCCATAAAATAAAAAATAAATAAAAAAAACTTACATCTTCCTCAGAAGTTTGAGGAGACAAACCCCCGATCATAATGGTCTTACTCTTCTTCTCATTTCCTGGATCTCTTCTATAATCGTGCTCCGAGTAGTCGCCATCTGAGCGATAATCATCTTCTGATCGGTCACTGTTCCGCCTTTTCCTTTCTCTCGGCTTCATGAAAAAAAACATTAAAAAATTTTTTTGACACTAATATTACATTCAACTATAAAATAAGTTACAACCTAAAGAATCTGCTCATTCAAATCAAGTACCTCTGGACTGTCTCGAGATCCTCTGCGATCTCCTTCGTAATGATTACGCCTCTCGTCATTCCAGCGCCGGCTGTTGTACTCCCACTCTTGGTCCCGCTCTCGCAAGTCTCGCCAGCCATTACGGGACGGCTCCGATCCATATCTACCACTGCGTTCGGTCCGGCTGATCCTGTTTAAGGAGTTACAGAAAGGCAGACATCAACACAACAATTACTTTTTTAGCCATACATTTCAGCAATGTAATACTCCAAAACATCACAACACAATTAACAGATTGCCTTGTAATGTAACAGATTTACGTCCTTTAACAATTGAGAAATTAAATGTATGTTTTAAACTGCCTGAACAAAAGAGGGTACCCTTAAAGTAATTTGTAATTTCCATATAGTCATTTTTGAATCTAACAATATATAAATTAATGAAAAAAAAATGCATGAGATTCGAGGAAAGAAAACTTTGGTAAACATTTACTTTTTCCAAGTTGAAATGTTCAACAAAATTTCTTGTTTTTATTACAGGTAAACTGTGTAAATGAAATACACAACGCTGTCAAATGTTAATCAAAACAAAGTAAATAATAATCACCATTTCTGATAAGGACTGGATTTTCACTTCCAAAACTTAAAAAAGTTATTTGTGTGGACATTTAGTGTTTGAACGTTTTTTTAATTTCTTTAAAAACATGAGTATTTAACATATTCAAATAAAAGTCCTTAGTGTGCATCAGTCGTCCATCATAAAATCACTCTTGAATGACAAAAAAAACAAAATGTATTTATTTGATGACTTACAACTAAAGTTACAATTACTCTCAATAAGAAATTGTTAAGAATACAATTCGCCTAATAAGTGGTTGAACAGGATGCCATCTTGCTTTGCAAATTTACACCCTACGGCCAACTCACCTTTTATCAGTTCCCATTTTCTACACGGACCCGAAACCTAAAAGAAAAAAAAAAGAAAAAATACCGACAGTGTGTGATTACCCAGAATTTCTGTTATTTTAAATATATTGACAATTTAAAATGCCGAAGCATTCTCTTATGAGTCTGACAGTGAATGAAGGTAAAACACAAGATGGACACCGATTCTACAATGACAACTCACGGCAAAAAGCATCGACGTCAAAGAAGCTGTGAGCGGTTATTTTCGAAATTAATCGCACAAAAACTCACCGATAAAGGTTTTCCGACAACGTTACAGCCAACTAAAACTTTTTCGCTACAATTTTTCGATAAACTGTGAGGAATAAAATTCAGCTCACGTTTGATAACTAACCTCAACGCCACGACAGAACCTTCTTTATCCCAAGATGCATTGGGGCAGGCACTAGCGCACTACGTTATCAGTTATGTAAGTCCACGAGTTTGCCTTACAGGCAACAATGCAAGTCCTGTTTGTCTCAACAGCTGTCGCACGTGATTTAGGTTCACATAATTATGTTCAGATACTTTACACATTCATTATGATGCTCATTTTTGATAGTTTTTGCATTCTTCGTAAGTTAGCACTGAAGCGTTTATCCTACGAACCAGAGGAAGCGCTGAAAGTGAGACCTGACAGGCATTCTTGAGGGCACAATAACACATCTCTATTCTTCGCCATTTTACATAGTTGGCGTTTATGCACAGGACTATAGATATAAACACGTCATTATATGATATCTATGCACAGGACAGTATATTTAAAAACAAAGAGAAACGAGATTGAAACCTATACAACATTTCTTGTGAAATTATATGAAGTTGATGTATTAAATCGGCGACTTACAGGAAATACTGTAACATATTTCCTGTTTATGAATAGTCTAAAGTACAAAATGTAAAAGTGCATGGTGTTATCTGAACACCCTGCATCCAATTTACACACACACATATATATATATATATATATATATATATATATATATATATATATATATATATATATATATATATATATATATATATATACATATATATATATATTTAATTTGGCTTTATGTTAAGCTTTTGCAGTGAATTTAACAAAGCTTGTAATCAATTTCTGTATAAAATCTTACGTTTTCCAGTTGTTTTTAGCTGCTGTACATACATTTTCACTTATGCCATGTGACTGAATTCTTGTTTCGTTTCCTCTGCTCCTTTCTTCAGGGGTTGCCACAGCAAGAAAACTCACATGGAAAATTTGCCAACTAATTTAGACTGGTTTCCTGGACTCCAATCTGCAACCTGAGGATTACAAGACCACTGCATGACTACCAAGCTACCGCAGACCGACAAACTCAGCAAACAGTATGCACAGAAAATAGCACAAAGGCAACTGTTAATCTTTTATTACAGTATTTAAAATCTGAAACATCACCAAACATTTTTCTTTTGTACAGGCAAATCTTCCATAAAGATGACTACACATTAATTGTTCAACTTGGCACACAAATATGTTCCCAGTTTTTCTCTCTCTGATTTGGTACTGACACTGTATACATACTGCTGACAATTGTATTACCTTGCTCCAGATTATCTTTCCAAAACAATACTTATGGAGCTTTATTTTAGAATAAACGTGGATGCTTGTGTCACCGATACAAAAACAGATCCATATCTTCTATACGAATGAGTCATGAGATAAAACAACACAAAACTCAGCCACATAATATAAAAATGGTCCACGTGATCCCAAAAAAAAGGATGGCGGTTCCAGCACATTTAGTCCAAAAACTTCAGGGTGGAGAGAGGGGAAGTAGTTTTAAGTTAGGAGTTCTAGGTCAAGGTTTCTCCTTTCGTCACCTGAAATGACAAATATATTAATTTCATTGTTAAATTACATGGAGCCCGAGATGCAAAATATACACTTTAATTCATGTACTTACTCTGGCCTCTATATATTCAATCCTCCTCTCCAACGCTGTCAACTTCTCGTTGAGTGTTGCCAGACGGGAGCGACATGACATATCTGTTGGGTAAAAAAATTGACATGTTAGAAAGGTTGGTGTTATTGTCAGCAGGTAGCCATTGTTTTAATCACTCAATGTTCCAATAAAGATAACTGCACCCTAATTCATCCGTTATTTTTTGTCACACAGCAGCGTGGAACAGGGAAATTAGTTAGCTGACAAATTCTAAATTAAACACACTCATTAAATGAACAAAGGCATTACGTTTTTCTACACGTCAATATTCTTAAACAAACCAGTTAGCTGGGTGCTAACGTTCGAGCTAAATGCTAGCTGGTAGCGTCTGTGTTAGCAATAGCCGGACAGTTAGCCCATCTATGTGTTGCAACGCAAGACAAAGAGGAGTTAGCTGTCGAAACGTATACTGATTCCACTCGTTAAACAATCAATATAAGCGAAAAACACAAGGCAGCAAGCTTTTAATGTATCACCCTCCTAGCTCGGTGCTAACGTCCGAGCTACATGCTAACCGGGAGTGGCCATTTAAAAACGTCAACATCTGTTAGCAACAGCTAGCTCGATTCTTCTACTTAAATATTCTACATCATAGCGATTATATTCGAAACCCCGTTTGTTCAGAGGCTTACCAAACGAGTTGAGGAAGTCAGCGATCTTTTTGATGCTGCTTGTAATTACTTCGATGTACTCTCGGTTCGCCCAGTCTTGGTGAATCTCTCTTTGCACGGGATCTTCCTGACCGGCCATGTTAGCAGTCTGGTGGGTTAGAGTTATGTCGGTACTGCCCTGAGCTGTCATCCAGGAAGCGACACATTATTTTTTTTTATTTTATTATTTTTTTATTTTTATTAATAACACACAGAACTACAAAACACTACAAAAGAGAAAGATATATACAAACACTCGTGAAGGGTGTCAGAACTACAGTTTACAAGCTAGGGGGGTTACAAAATGATAAAAATTGAGTAATACATATATAAAAAACATTAAATGAAAAGAATAAACATAAGAAACAAAAAGGAGCAAAACAATATGAGAAACTTAAAACAACAAGTTTTTTGATATCTGTTGTGAAATGGTTCTAGCAGTTTTCCAGTTTTTTAATCTACTTATTGAAGAATAGTACAACTTGAATTCGTTCATAAAACACGGGAAGGAGGGCTGATTGTCCCTCCATTTACTACAATGAATGTGATACTTTGCTATAAGGATGACTATATTTATAGCATCGGAGTAAGCTGAGCTTAAATTATCCATGTAAAATAAAATGGCATCAGCATCAAAGGGAGGAATGTTCAGTTTTAGATTAATCCAGTTTGTAATGTCAGTCCAGAAACTTTGTGAGTATTGACATGAAAAAAACAAATGTTCAAGGGATTCATCTTCAGATTTACAGAAGGTGCACAAATCCACCTCAAATTTAAATCTTCTGTGCAGAAGCATGGCTACTGGATAGATCTTATTTACTATTTTAAAATGGTTTTCTTTCACTTTAGGAGATATAGGCCATTTGACAAATTTTGAATGAGCAGAAGTCATGGTTTTATGATTTATATTGGGAGGTTTCTTGAATGAATCTTTGTTGTAATCATAGTAAATCGTTTGTCGCATGCATTCATTGATCATCTTGTTATTACATTTGAGATCAACTAAACTACAGTCATTTAGTTTTAATGTGAGCATCGAGACGGTCACCTTTGAATACATAATGATATTTTTAATTAACTGAATCAAGGCTAAAGGGATTGCTTTACATACCTTCATAAAATCTTTATGGCAGCAGCTAAGGTTATATTTTCTAACAAAAGATGAGAAATTTAAAAGATCTCCATTACAATCCAAGATGTCTGTTACAAAAATGATGCCTTTTTCATACCAGTCTTTTCTAAATATTAACTTTCTGCCCACTGTGATTGCTCTATTATTCCACAAAGTTGATCCATGAGGTGAGAAATTATGGTGAAATATCATTTTCCAGAACTGAAGAACTTGTTTGTGGAAGTTTGATAGTTTAACTGGAATCTTCGTCACTTCGAAGTCACACCTTGCAAGGAAGTCAATTCCTTCCAGCTGCTTAAAAATGGAGGCAGGGATGTGAAACCACATTGAATTTTGTTGTTGTAAAAAGGTTTTTAACCATTTAGTCCTAAATGTTCCAACCATTGCTTCAAAGTCTCGTGCATTGATACCACCATGCTCATGTTTTTTAACTAGTTGGGACTTTTTAACATAATGAGTCTTATTTTTCCACAAAAACTGAAAGATAATGGAGTTGGTTTTTCTTATGTTTTGTGGTGATATATACATAGAATGACATGGATAAACAGTCTTGGAAATGCCATCTGCTTTAGTCAACAGGTTCCTTCCAAAAATAGTCAGATCTCTTGTCAACCAACGGCTGAGACTTTGTTTCATACCATAGGAAGCGACACATTAATGGATGTAAACAATAGGCATGTAACATTTAGACCACATTTATTAGCAGTAAAAGTTACAGCCGTTCAAAATTTGGGAACGCATGGAATTTGGTTTTAGTATTTTGTAAAATTGAATACGCATTAAAAGTGGAATGTGGAATAGAAAAAAATATTCAGGTGCATCACCCCCAAAAAATAAATACATGAAAAAGTTCAGTTTGAGTTCAGAAAAGGAACCTGACTTAACTTTTTACATTCAGTATTGTCAATCATTTTCAGAAGGTGGAACTCATATTAAATAGATTCATTACACATATAGAGTGAAATATTTCAAGACTTTATTTATTGTAATTTTGATGATTTACAATGAAAAACAAAAGGTGCCCTGTCCTGCTGGAAAATAAAATCACCATCTCCATGAAGCTCATCAGCAGAAGGAAGCATGAAGTCTCTAAAATATCCTGGTAGATGTTGTGCTGACTGTGGACTTCAGAAAACACAGTGGACCAACACCAGCAGAGAACATGGACCCAAACCATCACTGACTGGGAACTTCACTCTGGACTTCCATCAACGTGGATTCTGTCCCTTTCCACTCTTCCTCCAGACTCTGGGACCTTGATTTCTAAATGTCATGCAGAATTTACTTTAATCTGAAATGTACCACTGAGTCCAGTTCTTTGTCTCCTCAGCAGGTAAGATGCTGATGTTGTCTCTGGTTCAGGAGTGGCTGGACTTGAGGAATGAGACATTTGTAGCTCATGTCCAGGAGTTAATGAGCCGATTAAGGTGTAACACAGGAATTTATAATATTACCATACCATACCAATTTATTTATAGAGCAATTAAAACAGCAACAAGGCCAACCAAAGTGCTGTACAAAAACAAACATGCACAGCAGACAGGAAAACATAAAATAAAAATACAGATACAAATAGCAGCAGAAGCTAACTAAAATGGCCAACAGTGTAGAGAACAGACAGGACCAAACAAATCACACCGTGTTAAAAGCAAGCGAATAGAAGTGGGTCTTCAAGCGAGACTTAAAGACTGAGAGTGTGGGAGCCTGCCGGACACTCAGTGGCAACTCATTCCACAGTCGTGGACCTGCAACAGAGAAAGCCCTGTCACCTCTGAGCTTACGATGGGTTTCTGGGACTGAGAGAAGCATCTGGTCTGCTGACCTCAGAGAGCGCGGTGGGACATATGGCTGCAGAAGATCAGTGAGATAGGATGGGGCGGAACTGTTCAGTGATTTAAAAACATACATGAGAATTTTGAATTGGATCCGAAGGTGAATGGGTAGCCAGTGCAGGGAGTGCATATTGAACCTCTTCACAATATTCTAATTTTCTGAGACACTGAATTTTGGTTGTTCATTAATTATCAGCCATAATCATCAATATTACAAAAAAAAATGAAGGCTTGAAATATTATTTCTCTGTGTGTAATGAAATAATTCATGAGTTTCACTTTCTGAAATGATTGTCAAAAAACTTGAACTGTACACTCATTGTTTACATTCTATTAAAGATGAACAATTGAATTTCATTTCTCAAAAAAGTACATTACTTTGTACAATTAATATAATATACATATTCCATGCATATCCAACTCCAAGTGATTTCTGTTAGCAGCAACTTGCATTTCAGATTCATGTAAATAGAAAACACACTGAAAATACTTTGGGCACCCTTCTGAGGTTATGCTGCATTATATACGTGCAGGCTATTTACTACATTTAGCATTTACTACAATTTCATCCAGTCCTCAAACTGGAAATTTAAGTCTGAAAAAGTCTAAAACTTTGAAACAGAATACAGTATTAGTACATGGCCTGCTCACTCCAAAACTTTGTACTGACAACAAATTAGTCAATTATCTGTTTATCCCACAAGACAATAATGTGCATTTCTGCATTCTCAATTTATGCACCTTTTGATGTTGATGCATAAGGAGGGGGGTAGTAAATTGGCTTGTGTGAATTTTGTTCAAATAAATTCAGTACAAAGAGTATTTAGAAGGTTTTTTTTATATGAATTTTAAACAGACAAAATAACGTTGTTCAGTGCAACATCTTTATTTTTTCCTCTTGAAATCATCAAATTGTGGTATAGTTAGTGGTAGAAGCACACACATTTACATTTCATCAGGAACTCCTTACACAAAATGGTTTACAGAAGTTTCTTCATTTAGTAAACAGGCAGTGCACACCACTGAAAATAGCACAATCTTTGGACTGAGGCAGTTTAACTCTAAGCTGGAAAGAAAGATAAAATGTCACTAATGTCTGAGTATGCTGATAAGAGTGGTAGACTACATCTTTTACAGCCAGCTATAGTGTTGTAGCGCTCATTTTACTTGATTCTCTTCAGTAGCTCTTTAATATCTGCCTCGATGTCAATGGTGAGGAAATGCCTGCTGTAACGCTTGTAAGGCTCCCCGTCAGCAGTGATCAGGAACTTCTCAAAGTTCCAGGATATGTCATTCCTGCACACAGGACTCCAGATGATGAACTTCGGATCCGTCATGAGAGCCGTGGCATCATCGCAGGGGACTGGGAGTTTCTCTTTCAGATACACAAACAGCGGGTGGGCATCCTTCCCATTCACATCCACCTTTTCAAACAGCGGGAACTTTGGCTCAAAGCCGTTGCCTGGACGGACATACTTCAGGGACCTCAGGATTTCATCGTTGTTGGTGTTCTCCTACACACAGAACATTGAGCAGGGTTTTCATTTACAGCCACAAAACAAAGTTAACATTAATGAAAGTGATTTTTTTTTTCAAATTCATTTGAAGTTTTGAAGCACATCCATTTTCATTCAGTTTTTATTCTGGACCATTTCAGAGAAAGATGACACTCGGTATCCTAAAGTTAGTCACACAATTCAGACAACACACAGAAAATACACAATATAAGGAAATGTTTTCCCAGAGACCAATGGTGTTAACATTGTAATTCCTGTAAGATAATTTGCTGATACTTAACATATTTTGATGCCATTTTACAATATATTTGAAAACATTTTGCTAGTTAGGTTATAAAGCATTTATAAATTACAATACCTTTTAATAAAGGAAATCATTAAACTTAAAACAAGAAGACTGCAGAATGTTTTGAGGTCATGTTATTGTTTTATATTTAAGGGAACTTACCTGATGTCCAAACTGATTGCAGGGCACACCCAGAATAACAAGTCCCTCGGCGGAATAGCGAGAATGAAGCTCGTTCATCTGTGTGTAATCCCTGATGGTTGTTCCTCAGAGAGAAGCCACATTCTCAACGAGAACGACCTTCCCCTTTAGTGCCGAGAAACTAAAGGTTTCACCAGAGAGCAGCTTAGCTGTAAGGTCGTAAAACCTTTTAATGTTTCCAGCCATGTTTATGAATCCGTCACAAGCCGAATGCAATGCGGAAAAAAATCAACTTTGAACGTTTTCTTGAAGTTCAGCCCTAATTTAAAATAAAGGCGGAGCACAAACATAAACGCTCCTTAAGGCTATTGATGGATGTGCACTATTTATTTAGAGGCCGGCATACGAAGCAGCGCTCTAGGGAGGCGGAGTTTGCTTTCTCTCTATTAGAGAGACAACTCCGCCCTCGCAGCTCGCCTTTACTTTTAACCGGTCCCATACCGGTATTGCGCCAAGGCACTTATCCCTCAAATAATTTGTCATGAAAAGCTGAACTAAATACGCATCGACATTTAACTTGAGTAAACTTTAGTATAGTAACACGTTTATTTTATTTAGTGAGTTTTATTTTTGTTGTTTATTTTGTGGGTCACACAGCAAGAATATTCTTGTTTACAATTTCCTATTGCGTTTCTTCAAACCGAGGACGGCAGCAAAAAAAAAAAAAAAAAAAAGGAAAACAACGGAAAAGTGTCATTGTAAACTCGTTTCAAAAGACAACAGTTTGCTAATTGTTACACATCAACTAAAATTGCATATACTAGACACAAAAAAATCAGCTAAATATTATTTAAGTGACTTTCGGATTATTTTATTAATATTTTCTTGTTATAACACCCCCCCCCCCCCTTTCGCCTGCATGGTACGTTCCAGGAAGTCCTGCACAATGTGTAATCCAGCGGTTTTGTCGTTGCCGGGTAGCGCGAAAACTTTACCTTTTTCATCAATGACGTGCTTTTAAAGACAACCTAAAGCATATTTTAAGCATGTTTTAAGAAATGAAACCGTGTTAAATGCTTGGAGGCGGCAGTTTTTACTGTAATTCGCCCCACCTGTTGGTGAGCTCTCATCATGTCAGAATACGGCTTCAGCATGAGCCTGCTGCTCATCCTATTAGCTGTTTTAGTTTTTACATTAGCTGGTTGTGTTTTGTATTCAGGACTCCTCACAGACATCACCGTGCAAACTTGCTCTTCGTCCTTAAAAAAGATGACATTCGCATACAGGTTTAAAGAAGGAGCGTACAAACCCAGCGGACAACTTTTGAAGGAAGCTCGGCGTGTTGGAGCAACAGGGCTGTCGTGTATCGTGGTGTTTTATGACGAGCCCAAACAGGTAAACATCTAGAAATCTGCTAAATAACGACACGTTTTCCTACTGCTGCAATCTTTGTCGCAAGCTCAGCGATGCAACTACATCGCTGTTCAGAAATGCAAAACTAAAAGTCAACTAGACTTATAAATTGATGCGATCTACAGCATTAGTTTTAAGGGAAGGTGGAAAAAATGATGAAAAAAGGTTTATTTGAGAACATAATTTGATATTAAGATATATACTTTTAATGTTGCATAGAAAAAGAAACCACTTCAGTTTTAGCCCATGTTGTTAAAGAGTTCTAAATGTAGAAACAGTGGACGTGATGAAATTTATTGTGCTTATTGTAGTTCGCCGCTAGATGGCGGTGTTGTTCCTTTCCACGACACAAGTGACTAAATCCATCATTTCTAAACAGTTTGTCCTTGTTATTGTATTTATTAATTTGAAAACAAAACCCCATCCCTCCTCACAATGAATAGTCCTCTAAGTGTTATTTTGTATACTTGTGACATTCAGCAATTAATCCACTTCTTTTCATGTTAGGGACATCATTTCCCTAAGCATTATTGAACATCTGGTTTGGATATGGTGTCTTGTGTATTTGGATGTTATGGAGTAGTAGTAATTATAATTAAGTAATAATTCAAACGTGTTAGGTCTTTAATTTCAAGTAAGGAGTTGTATCCTTAAGGCTTTATGGAAAATTTAGATTAGATAATTTTGCATCGTGTGCAAATCAGCTGATTTGACAGATGTGTGTTGTGTTGCTGCACTCTGATGGTGTGTCTTTGTACTTATCAATTGATCAAACAACTATTAAGATTTATTACATAAAAATCAGCAAGCTTACAGGCTCGTGTTATTAACTCAGGATATTTTCAGTTGAATTTATGTGCGTAAATAAAAAAATATCACCTTTTTATCTCAGCATTTTTGTTTCTTAGGACTAACATCCAAGCTGTGATGGTTTGGTAGAAAACATGTGACAAGGAAAGAACAGAAAGTAAACCCAGGAATGCTTTCATTTATGTGAATGTGATAGAAATTGCCCTTGCCTCTCATTATCTCCACTCCAAGGCTGCTGACTCCAGTGTAATTCAGTTAGATCTCACTTATGGATGGTTTCCTGTGTTGTTGTTCCCTGTGTGAACCCATCTATCTCAACATCTCTGTTTCTATAAGGTGCAGGACACAATAGCTGCTGGAGCGCTTTCCTTGATAGCTAAAACTGCACACTCTCTGGGGTCTTCATAATACTGCAAGGCTTGTTCCCACATTTCAAAGGAGTTTTAGGATGAGCTTTGTAAGGTTTTCCTAAATTTGAGAGGCTTGAGACAATGGACCATCTTGAAATAATTTCTCAATCTTGTTGCACTCAGCATTTCTGCAAGTTTTAGTAACAGGAGTGTAAAACAAGAACTTGACCCATTTATTATCAATAAATATGGCTCTTCTATGACCGTAATACCCACTGAATATGATATACAACTGTCTGATTGTTGTGTGTTGAGTGGGAATAATAGTGTCTGTTGATATTTTAAGCTTACTTTTATTTTAGATCTTAATTATGTTTGAATTAAGATATAAGCTAATTCTTTAAGCCTCCCTCTTAATCAGAGGTTGTCTAAAAAAAATCTTTTTAATAGTTGATGACCATGCCAATTTTAGAAATCACGATAGTCGATTGCCAGTATCTAAAAAAACGTTTTTTCTCCCCCATTGTTGTTTATTGTTATCTGTTAATTATATTACCGGTAGTTTAATGGTCTTGCAGAATACAGTATAGATTTATTTATTTTTTTAATGCAGTGATTGAAGAGTTTTGGACAAATGCTTTTTAGCAGAACATGTGCTGTTGGAATAGCAAAGGTTTCAAGCCTCTCAGATATTTAAAAAGTAAAGTCTTGTAATTCATTCTGGAAGTTATGGCACTACGCCTTGACAAAGTTAACAAAATATTTCGATGAACTTCCTTTGGAAGCCGGTTCGCCGGTGAAGGCACCCTTGACATGAAATATATTCTATCTGTTGAAAGTGTTGCTTGATCGCCTTCAGGTTGTAATACATGCAACATAAACGTATAGATGCAAATCAAATTACTATACGCATGTCTGACTGATGCCATTTATTTAAATTATGGCAGCAATCACCCAAATTAATTTGCTGACCAATCAGTCAGTTTACTACTACTTAAAAATAAAAATAAAAACGCAGGCTTTGTGGAAATCAGTTTGAGTAGGCTCACCTTTTACTACAAGTATCTAAAGAAACAACTCATAATGTACTGGTAATCTCACTTAAGACCAAATTTTAAATTATTTATTTTTTTATTAAAGGCACCAGTAGTCAGACTCAAACCTATTAATGTGTGGTACTGCCATCACCATGCAAAGATGGTTTCAGTCTAGATATTTCACTTTTATGTTTTTCAAGGCAGTTTTATGCAGTGAACACCTTCTGCATCAACACCTCTAATGTATTTAACCCACACTTTTTTCTATTTGATAAATAATTATTGAGTTTTATAGCACGAGTCAGTTACAGTGGGATTTTGTTAACTTCGCTCATCGTTACTGTTTAGTTTTCTTTAAAACAAATTAGTATCTAACTTAAAACAGTTGTGAGTTCACTGCTTAAACCTACCAAAGCAACCTGATGGAATGTAACCAGAGGTCAGTGATGGGCTCTTCCCAGCCCTGCTTCAAAACACTTTTGTTATGCTCATCCATTTTTTTCCCCTCAAGCTGGCAATTAGGCTAACATTGAGTCCTGGTTCCTCTGCACAGTCACAGCCAAGTCCTGATCTAAGTTGGAATAATTGTCATAATGATCTCAGCTCATTAGTGTCTGAGCCTCAGGATGCCATTCACTGACTGCGGCAGGAACCCCCGAGAGTTCGCTTACACACAGGAGGACTGGTGTTTGGTGTTTAAATGGGGAGACACTGTCCACCAATTTTTGCAGTGGGCGTTTTTTTATTTTTATTTTTTTTTTTAAGTTCAGCAGACAGATAAGTGCCTGCATGGTTAAGTTTCATCCCGTTCTCAGTTTTCTCACTTTTACCTCCTTTAATCACTTCCTCTGGAGAAACAAAAGACCTCAATGAGAACTTGATTTGGTCCTGAGATGGTTGCCATGGATACGGCTATGTCTGCTCCTTCAAATGGCTAATGCACATCCAAGGCTCAACTCGCTAAAGCCTTCTCCTCCATCAGCCTCTTCACAGCTTCGAAGCCGGGGGGGTGGGGGGGTTCTGTGACCCAGTGTGCACAGTTCACCTCTGCTTTAAGCCTCGAACTTTGAATCCAGCGAGTATCGGAGGGAAGCGATGGGGAGAGATTGTCTAGTATTTTGTCAAACTTGATGCTCAGAGTAAGTGATGAAGGTCAGTGCACAGAGACCTCGGGACTTGGATTGTCTGAGTGTAATAGATGACAAGTGGAACAGCAGCTGATAGACAAATCTGCCCATCTTCAGGGACCGCTGTTTGTGTCACAATGTGATGAAAGCAGAGAGAACGGCAGCTGGATGAGGAGCTGATCAGGAAACGTACGCCAGTCTTCAGGGCTGAATCTTGTTCTTCCAGAAAGTTACTTTAAACATTTACAACCTAAGCTTTACAGAATCTGAGCGCACATAGAAAATGTTTTGTATGCCGGAGAAGATTCTTTGATATATATTTTTTTTATCCCCTCTTTTTTGGTTGCCTCACTGACGCCTGTGCTGCTGTTGTGCAACAGAGACACAAGGCGGCTTGATTCCTTGAGATGAATATCACAACTATTTGCTTCATGTGAGCTGTCAGTGTGTTGAAGAAACATCAAAAGGCATCACACTTGTGTCATAATGAGGGCAGCTTGAGGAACAAAATAAAGACTATGATCGAGTGTGATTTTGTGAGGAATTGTGCTGTGTTTTGTGAGCCTCAAACGTTGAGCCGCAAGTTGCCTTTCATGTTAGCAAATAGACATACAGTGTAGAAGTTTTAAATCATCTCTAATGTTTTTTATATGTTGCTTCCAAGGAACCAGACTTTCTTGTAACATTAAAGTGGTTTTGAAGGTTTTTCCAAGTTGTGGACTTGGACTTGTTGCTCTTCTTGTAACGCATCATGACATCACATTGTGCAGTGTGCATGAAAAAATGAAAAAGTCAATAAGTGGAGGATAAAAGTTGAAGTGTCACTGTCAAGCATAAAAAACACTTTTTTTTTTTTTCTGGCAAATGAATCATATCTAGAAGAAACGGTAAAACATTATTTGACAGAACCTGAGAGATGCACGTCGTGTTAGCTAATTGCTCTTTGGGAATCGCCTTGTGTGTCCAACTGTATCATCTCTGGTATCTTTCAAAGATTCAGTTAGCAAAAAATGCCCAAACTTTTTGGTAGGTTGTTAATAGAGAATCACAATATTGGATTTTTGGCCAATATTCGATATGCCGATATGTTAAAACTTATTTGGCTGACAACCAATACTGATATTTTAAATTCTAGACCTACATACAGAGACTAGCTTTCTCTGCTGTGGGATTAAAATACTACATTATTCTACTTGGTCTTTGTCAATTTGGCCTGCCACCAAATGCAGATGCCAAAAAAGAGGCTGAAAATAATGTAACACTTTAACTTGAATTATGTCCATCCATCCATTATCTTTACCCGCTTATTCCAGTTTGGGTCACGGGGGTCGCCGGTGCCCATGTCCAGCAATCACTGTGCGAAGGGCGGGGTACACCCTGGACAGGTCGCAAGTCCATCACAGGGCTGAATTATGTTTAATGTCAAATTTATTCATGACATTTACTCTCTCTAACCCAATGACAACACTGGAACAGTGCAAATTTGTAAATTTTCACAAACCTAAACTCAACCTGTTCACAAGCGACAAGTGAAAAGTGCATAAGTATTTGTGCGTTAATAGAAATACTGGACAGTTTCTTAAATTAAAGCTTGTATGGACTGCTGGCGAGGTTTTGTTTCTCCGCGGTTGACCCCTCTTTCGCTTTCCTTTCTGGCC